AAATAATCGTCAGATTAATCGATTTGTTAAATAATCGTTATATTCAGCCCTAATTGAGACCGTTTTATATTTGTAAACTAGAGGTAGTCATTCATCCTCTTATGTATTTCAATCCATAAGCTATGAAGCTAATTGGCATCAATCAGCCATGACTTACTTCTGCTGATTGTTTTTTTTTTATATATATAAATGTTGTTTTATTTGGACTAATGAGCCTCATAAGAAACCGAATGCTAATTGTGTGTTAGTCTTTGGTCTGAGTGTGACTGAAACGTCTGAAGTGAAACAGCTGATTTCAGGTTTTATAGAAGCAGCACTGATGGATTGATGTTTGGTTTTCTAACAGCGGATATTCGGAGAAACTTCAGAGAAGAATCTTTACCTTTCTCAGCTCATCATCCTTGACACCCTGGAAAAGTGTCTTGCTGGGGTGAGTGTTGTTTTTCATTCTCTGAGAAATGTATAAAAACGGTGGCTGGATAATTAATTGCTTTTACAATTAGGTAAAAATTTAACAAGTGTTAATTTCAAAGAGAGTAAGACACTGACTTTCTCACTCCAGCCCTGTAGGTGGCGCTAATGGGCTTAAAGTGGGCTCTGGTTAAACAGATGTGAGTTGGTCATTGGCTAAAATCTGACTTACAATCTGCAGTAAAGGTGCTAGCGTTGGCTAACATTAGGCTGTGTCTCTATCACTCCTCTGTAGGGTGGCCAGATGTCTGGCTTTAGGGCAGTTTTCATTGCACTGTCCGGCGTCCGGCGCCGCATCCAGCCGGACTTGTATTTGTCCTCCTTTATGAGGCATTAGGCTTGTAGAGCAGATTTTTATTTTTAATGTTTTTGCTGGGCTGCAGCACAATATCCAATCATCAAAAATGCATCACTATCTGATCTAACAGATGATTGGCTAAGAGTGGCGGCGTGTCAGATAAAGATTTGCTTATCATTAGTTACAAAAGTAAACAAGGATCAGAATCACTGATGCTAAGTATTAAAGTTAGCGTCCTGTCAAAACCAGGACGTCGTTTAACCTAGAATGGACTAAAGAGCATGAATTTATGACCAAAGGTAGTGGAGATTCATTCCATGGTTTCTGCCACTTTGTCGATGCGATGTGGGCGTAAGCAGCCGAGGAAAAGCTGCAACTGAACGGCGTGCGAGTACGGATTAACATAAAAGTAATAAACGTGCAGGAGCAAACTCTTCAATGTTGGCTTTTACATTTAGTTTTGTTTTCCCCTGGATGCTAAAATAGTTTGTGCAGAGCTGCAAGGTTTCAGAAGAAGATTTGTTGATATAAACTTACTTGATATAAAATAACCTAAGTCATCCCAGAAGGAAATTCATTTTTTGTACAGATCATCTGTAGGATGCAGTGTCCGAGGTTACATGCTAAGTTCACATCTCACATGCGTTGGGCAGCAAAAAAATCGTCTGCTGCTTCATTTTTGATGCTTGTGCACATTAAGGTCATTAAGGTCAGGCGTGTCCAGTTAAGCGCGTCCAGATGCGTCTGATGCTTCTGTGTTCAATGCCAGAGAGCAGCTTTGCTATATTTGCACTGATCAGTGGGTAAAAAGTTGTTTTAACATAATTTTATATGAGAAAGTCCACCTGAAAACTTCCTCTGTGCAGTCAGTTCATCATAATTACCATCCTGCCTTCAAATATTATTTTTCTGTTGGAGCCACTCGGTTCAAATCAGCTTCTCTGATTGTTTTGTAGCGGGTGTTGAGCTGCCAACTCAACTCCAGCTGTTGCCGCTGCTTGTCAAGCGCTTCATGCGGCTCAGAAGCTCAGGAGGCGCTCCTTCAGCTTCTCTGATGCATCAAGATGCGCTGCCCCTGCTGCTCCAGACGCCGCAGGCCCTTTTTATTCACGTCAACCATTGACTTTGCATGTAAACCAGCAGCTTTTGCTGCTTCCATCGCTTTCAGTGTGAACGTAGTATAAGTGTCATGAAGGCGGCACCCTATTGATTCAAATTAAAACATGGCATTGAGGTCATGGAAATTATGTAAAACTCAGAATGTGAGGAAGAAAAACATCTCAGGCCTCTGCTAATCTTTCAGCTTAGGAGGCTCCTGATTTCAGCTTTGGCTCCGGATTGATGCTGCTAGTTTGCTCCCCTCCCTCAGTCGATTTAATACATTACTAAGTCATGTTTGGCGCCACAGGATTGCAG